AAATAATTCCTTTCACAATAGCATCCAAAAAACTGAAATACCTAGGAATCATCCTAACCAAAGAAATCAAAGACCTCTTCTCTGAAAGCTATGGCACTCTGAAACGTAAGATTGAAGATGATATCAGAAAATGGACAGACATCCCCTGCTCCTGGGTAGGAAGGATTAATATAGTGAAAATGCATGTGTTCCGCGCGACTGGGGACCTCGGCAGTGTGTGGGCAGACCTGCCTGTCTGCAGCGGGCTGATTCGGTGTCTCCCAATATTTGTCTATTATGAATTGTGCTGCTACAAACATGGGTACACAACACCATTGCCATATGATGTCTTTAGCACTTGGAGAAAATACCTAGAAGAGGAATAGCTGTGTGTTATGTATATGTACCAATCCCCTATGATGAATGTAATCATTATGTACTCCAAAATTTTACAACAATAATATTTTCATTCTAGAAGAAAATTCAACAAAATATCTTACATTTTGTCATGGGTCAGGACAGATGTCTTCTCCATCCTATATGTACCAATAACACCATGAGGATGATTTGACCACTTGGCTCCTTTTGAAGAAGCCCCTTGAGCTGGGGATTTAGCTCAGTGGTTCCGTCGCCTGCCTTGCAAGCATGAGGTCCTGAGTTTGATCCCCAGTACTCAAAAAAAAAAAAAATTTTTGAAGAAGCCCCTAAAGATGGAAGCCCAGAAGGGTCAGACACTCAAGAGTCATTATCATCATAGGCCTGTCACACCCATTTTTTATAAAAAATACCACAGCCACCAATGAATGTACCAAATATGAATGTGGGTAATCCCTTTCTTCTTGGGTGCACTACTATTATCTTCTTTAAAATATTCAGGTTCTAGTTGTCCAGTCCATACAGATGAGTTAGGAAGGGGTTAGATAAAATGCCTCCTCCCTGCCCTTTATTTGACATCTAAGGGGCTACCTGAACAAGTCCCGTGGGATGATGTATTCCTGTATCAGGATTGCTAAGCTCTAACACTCCAAGCACTAGAGTGGCTGACATTGACTCAGCCCCCACAATATACACTCTTCTGAAAACTTCTACAGCTCTTTACCCTTGCACAAAAAGAATTCAAAGAAACACAGAGTCTTGAATGAAAATGATTTATTTCCCTTTCCTCAGCCACTGGGATCTGATAGTTGGGAGAATAAGGCAGCATGTCATAGCAAGAAGGTGTCAGCGATAGAACAAAAGTACAGCTGCCTCTGTTATCTCTTGGCTGCTCCTCAATCCAATATGAGTTCCATAACCATTCCAATCAAAGGCAGAGAAGTCTCCACACTGCACAGGATTTCCCTGTGGGAAGTATCCTCCTCCACCAATGCAGTGCTACAAAAGAAGGAAAAGAGGAAAAGATGATGAGAGTTCAGCTGGTGAAGCTAAAGGTATTTTAATGGCAAAGTCTTTATTCCTCATGGGAATTTCTATTATTACACCCATGAAAACCTCTGCTCCTATAAGAACCAAGATACATCATGTAAAGGTACAAGATCTCAATGGTGAATGTAACTCTATTGTATACTTAAAATGTATCAATAAACTAAATGGGAAAAAAACCTCTGTTCCTTTAACTTTATTTCCATCATGTCTCCTCCTGACTTTCCATTCACTTTTCTAGACATTCATGCTCAGCATCCTTGGTGGGATTCTTTATGAATTCCTTAGATGCTGCTCCCTCTAAGGAGACACATCTCCCTCATGCTTAAAGATTGTAGGACTCTCTTTGGCATACACCCTTTACACCAAAATTGCAAAAGAGCCTGCAGCTCTCCCAATACCTCAACCTCTCTGAAACACTAATGACTTTGAACATGCTGTTCTTTCAAGCTACATGTATACTTGCATGTATATTCCATAGATTTCTATCCATCTCTCAAGAATCATCTGAGAAGTTACCTTTTCTGCAGTCACTGCTCTGACACCCCCAGCACAGTTACATGCTTTTGTAGCCCCTAGTTGTTTCTGTTTTCTTTGGGACAAGGGGTTGTTGGACATCAAAGCCAGGGCTTCACACATACTAGGCAAACACTGTAACACCACAACCTCCTCAGGCCTCCTGTTACTATATATATATAACTTTTATATGTATAGTAAACTATATATTAATATATATTAAACTTCAGATTCTTCACATATTAATTTCATCTTTGGCTCAATATCTTGTTAGATGCTGGACAGGGAACACATGATTTTGTGCTGCTGTACAGTACAAAAGCTTTTCTACAGAAGGGGTGGTATCTGCACACTGCATCACTCAGGCTTTGGGCCATGACTGAGAGCTGTCATAGTAGACAGGTTGTCACAGTGAGACCTGTTCCTTTGGTGCCATTGAGTCACCATTCTCCATTATGATCACAGGGTCCTCCTTGATAGCAAGGCTGCCTCAACCTAACTGGGAAAGACAAAGCTGAGGGCTGAGAAATGAAAGCAAAATGAGATCTTCAGGGTCACCAGTCAGCAGCTCAGGATACTTTATTCAGATTGTTAATTTGAGGAGAGCTGGGTCCCAAGTGAACACCCTCTGTATGGACTGCACAAGAGCTCCCTCTGTCATGCTGGAGAAAATGACATCTTCTGTCCACACACCCCACCTGACCAGCCTCACACCCAGGGTGTAACTTGATGAGACCACTCCATAACATGTGTTCCTCAGACTGTATCTCAGATTGCATCTCAGACAGCCCCTGCCAGTCTTCTCAGATCAGATGAGACACTTCCCCTTTATCCTCCAGCCTAGCTCCTGCCTTTCCTGCCACCACTGCATCTGCCCCACAGCCTTCCCCCTCCTTTACCTGCCACGATTGTTCAATCTTTTAACCCTTCACCCACCTGGACCTTTCTCTCTTTAAACCCATACCCACTAAGACAGAGAGAGACTCATTCTATTTTCTGTGTTCCTGAAATCCAGTGCTGATCACAGAACACTTTGGGGTAAAACCAACCCTCCCTTGATGTCTGGTCAAGTGCAAACATGTCTGCCCTTCCCTCTCACCCACATTCCATTACAGCCCTGTGTCTCAGCTAGAGGCGTCCACTGTTGACCTTGTTACTGCTCTCATTATTTCTCTTTGCTCTCTATGGGGAATCTCCCTTCCTCTATTCCTCTTCCTCTCCCTTAGCCTATCTTCTACAAAACCGGAAACCTCTCCATCTCTACCTGATCTAAAGCCCAAATGCCTAATTTATTTTGTAATGCTGCTTGGCTACAATATAAGCTTGAAAATGGCTCTCAGTGGCCTGGAAAGGGCACCTTTGATTTTTCTATCTTGTGGGACTTAGATAATTTTTGCCAAAGACTGGGAAAATGGTCTGAGATACCCTTATGTCCAGGCATTCATTACACTCCATAGTCTTCCTGCTCTGTGCTCCACCTATGATTCCTCTCAAATTCTTCTTCTTTCTCTCTCATCTGTACCCCCTGCAGTCTGCTCCAAAGTAAACTCTCCCTGACAACAGATCCAAGTGACCTCACTCTTCTCTGACAGCTCTCCATCCCTCCTGCAGTGGCTGGAGACACTGCAGCTCTCTCCCCTCCCCCAGAGTCTCCAGCCACCAGGACTGGCATAGCCACTTACCCCCCTCCTCCAGAGCTTCCTACCATGGCCATTGCAGCCACTTCCCACCCTTACCATGAGCCTTCTGCCACTCTCCCCAGCCAGCACTTTGCCAGGCCTCCTATTTATCCAACACTACCTACTGACTCTAACCCTCCTCTGTATGCTGCTCCTGGCCCTACACCATACCAGACCTGGTCCAGACTACAGTTTGGCCACTCACCCTCAGCCCTTGCCTCAACTCCAAATCCTTACCCTCTGCCCCTCAGTTCCCACTCTGTGAGGTGTCTTGGGCAGAAAGAATAGTCAGAGTTCATATTCCTTTCTCTCTGACAGACCTCTCCCAAATTAACCAGCATCTGGGCTCCTTCTCTTCAGACCCTAGCCAATATATCCAAGAGTTACAATACCTAAGTCAGTCATAAAACCTAACCTGGGCTGATTTAAATATTATCCTTACCTCCATGATCTCTCCAGATGAGCAAGAATGAGTAATCTTCCTGGCCCAATCATAGGGGATGAACACCAAATTGCTCAGGCCACCCTTCCAGTAGGCACTACAGCCTTCCCCAGAAGGACCCAAACTATAACTATCAGGTAGGATCTAAGAACTTGGTTGGCTATCTAGTAGAGGGGCTCCACAGGGTGGCCCATAAGGCAGTCAATTTTGACAAGCTTAAGGAGACCACTCAGACCAGAGGTGAAAATCCAGCCCAGTTTATGACTCTCCTGGCCACTGCCCTTAGGCAATACACAGCATTAGACCCAGAAAAACCAGAGGAACAACTCTTCCTTAAGATGTACTTAATTACTCAGTCTGCCCCAGACATTCATTAAAAATTACAGAAACTGGAGACTGGCTCTCAAACTCCATAGCAAGAGCTAATAAATTTGGCCTTTCAAGTTTTTAATAACAGGGACAAAAGTGCTCAAAAGTGGTGCATTTCTGAGCTGCAGATGCTGCCCTCTGCCATAAGAAACCCCTCAAAGTCAACACTGAGTTGACCACAAAGGGATCAAAGGTGCCCCCAACTTGAAGCATCCCTCTGAGGCCATGTTTCAAATGCCACCAGAATGGTTACTGAGCTAAAGAATGACTACAGCCTGAGATTCCTTCCAAGCTGTGTCATTCCTATGGAGATCTCCACTGGAAATCAAACTACCCAGCACTGTCAGCCACCTCTGGGTCACAACCCCAGTGGCCCCTGACCAGCTCCTTCCCAGACCTTCTTGGCTTGGCCACTGATGACTGATGTGGCCCAGAAGCCTTGGAGGTCCTCAAGAGTACCACAGATGACAAACACCAAGTAATCTTACAGTGGAGCATAAGTCCATCCCTATTCTGATCAATACAGGCACCAGCCATTCCACCCTTCCTTCTTTGAAAGGACTGGTCTTTCTGGCCACAACTACTATTGTGAGCATTGATGGCAAAGTCTTCAGAACTTTAAAAACTCCCCAATCATGTGTCAGTTAAGTCAACACCTTTCCCCACACTCATTCCTAGTCATCCCCCCCACCATGTCCCATTCTCCGTTTAGGGCAAGACATCTTGACCAAGTTGTCAGCTACTCTGACCATCTCCAGGACACAGCCAACACTTATAGCTGCCTTACTGTTTCCTTCTCTGCCCCCTTGTGAGTCCCATCATCTCCCTTCACCTCAACCCCAGGGTCTTGGATACTTCCACACCGTCCCTGGCTTCATCACAACAACCAGTCACCATCCCTCTCAAGCCTAACCACCCCTGCCCAGTGATGGTATCCCATTCCTGATCTGGCTTTACAACCTATTATCTCTCACCTATTGTGGCATGGTCTCCTAATCCCTATCAACTCTCCTTAGAACACCCCTATTCTCCCGGTACAAAAGGTAGATGATTCTTAAAAGCTGGTACAAGATCTCCATGCTATCAATCAGATTGTCCTTCCCATACACCCTGTAGTGCCTAATCTCTACACACTCTTATCCTCCATTCCCCAATCTACCACTCATTACCCTGTCTTAGATCTGAAAGATGTTTTTTTCACTATCCCTTTGCACCCTTCCTCACAGCCTCTCTTTGCCTTCACCTGGACAGATCCTGAAACTCATCAGTCCCAACAGCTAACCTGGACCATCTTGCCACAGGGTTTCTGGGATAGCCCCCACTATTTGGTCAGGCTCTTACCTGTGACCTACTCTCCTTTCACCCTTCTTCCTCTTGTTTCATACAGTATGTAGATGACCTCCTCCTCTGCAGCCCATCCTATGAAGCATCCCATAAAGACCTCCTCTTATTACTACAACATCTAGACTCCAAGAGGTAACATGGCTCTCCCTCTAAGGCCCAAATCTCTTCCCCACATGTCACCTATCTGGGCATCATTTTACACAGATATACTTGAGCCCTACCTCCAAACCATATCCACTTGATCTCCCAGATCCCAACTCCCACCACCAAACAACAGCTCCTTTCCTTTCTCAGCATAATAGGATACTTACACCTCTGGGTGCCTGGCTTTGCTCTCCTCACTAAACCCCTCTACAAGCTTACAAAGTGAGATCCCACTGAGCCTCTAGGTCACAAGACCTTCCCTCACTCATTCTTTCGATCTTTAAAGAAGGTCCTGCAGAGAGATCCCTTCTTGACCCTTCCAGAACTCACCCAACCTTTCAGCCTTTTACAAAAGAATAAGGGGTATGTGCAGCAGGAGTTCTGACACAGGGTCTCAGCCCACATACAATCAAGTTCTTAACCAAACAGCTTGACCCCACCATCTTGGATTTGCCATCATGCCTGCAGGCATCTGCTGCAGCAGCCCTGTTACTCTTAGAAATACTGAAAATCACTAGACATATTCCACTCATGCTTTACTCTTCACACAACCTTCCAGGATGCATGTCTTCATCCTAACTCTCACACTTTCTCTCCACATCTCACCTTCTCTAACTCTATGCGCTATTGATAGAAACTCCCATGGTTACCACTGCCTTAGGCCCTAATTTCAACCTGGCTTTCACCTTATCAGCACACCACCTTTTTCTAAAAACCCTGACGCACACGACTTGATGTCTCTAATACACCTAGCAACCTTCCCTTTTCCTCACATTTCCTCCTTCCCTCTTCCCAAATCTAACCATACCTGGTTCACTGACAAGAGTTCATACAAGCCCACCTTTAGTTTCCCTGAATGGGTGGGACATCCTTTCAGCCCAAGTAAACAGGACCCTTCCTGGTCATCTACAGCACTCTGATGGCTGTCTTGTCTATGAGACCCTCCCCATTTGGTACATCATTCTAGGGTAAAGCTGTGTCCAGCTGATAACTCGCCTAGTTGCTCCTTGTGGAAATTGCAAGTAATCTTCCCTACTTCCCTCAGGCTGACCTGAGTTCCAGAGGATACTTAAATGCTTTGCCTAGCCTGCCACTTCACCCACTTCCTTCATTCAGTCTGCTTTGATCTTACTTGGCTTCACCCTCAAACCTCTACCCTCCAGTTTTTTCTTACATAGATAGAAGATCTCTTTTTTCAGAGCACTCTGTGTGACTTTTTCCCAAAAGAGATTGAATTATTTCCCTTTCTTCTCACCTCCTTCCTGTTCATTGATTGATAAAGAGAACCTAAAACACCCTCTCTTCCTACTATATGCTTTCCTGTGGATTTTACTTATGCTCTTGTTATGGCCATAATTCAATTGTCTTTTGCCCCAGGGATGGAATCATTTCTTATGCTCATGTTCACCCTCACCTTAACTAGATTCTTCTCCTCCTCCTGTCTGCACTTCTTTATCTGGCTGGCCTTCCAGTTCCTTTCACCATGCCTCATGGCTACAACATCAGTACTTCTCCTAGCAGTTCCTAATTATCTCAGTAGGACTCTGCAGTTAACTCACTCTGTGCTGAACCAGTCCAATCCTTCCTTAGCCAAAAATTACCTGCCTTGTATTGCCATTTCCTCAGCCACCTATATGGCCACTCCAGTCCCTCCCTAGGTCTGGGTCCTTACTAATATTACATACTGTCCTCAATAGGAAGCAAAGGGCCCAATTCAACTCTTAAACAAAAGGTGCTCACTCAATTTTCCCATTAGTAAAATGACCAAAAAACCTCAGGACATGCAGCCTGACTAATTTAGTCTTATATCACTAACCTCTCCATATATGAGAGCTCAACAAAGCCCATATGTGGCCCTATAGCCAATGATACTAGTCTGACTTTCCAAGCCCCCATCTGCACTCAGCATAATCTATTCTCTGATAGACCACTAGAACATCTACTCCTCTACAAGTGTAACTATACATTATAATTACTGGCCCCAGCTGACTATATCAATTACGAGGTTGTTCAAGATGACACATTCACTCAGCCTGTCCATTTTTCTGACCCTCCTAAAATTACAACCACATCATTGCCTAACAGTCAGATTTCTGTAATTGCCACTATATCCTATGCATGACAATACATACATGGACCCCCTGTCACCAGTCTCCCACTTGCCCAGATTGCCTTATCTTCTTCACCTTTACCTACTGCTCACAATGGTTTCTAATAGATACCAAAAGATTCTTCTTCCAATGGGAAAATAGAACAGTAAACACCAGCAAAATCTCATCAGGGCCCCTTCCATCCTTTAACAGAAGCTGTTCTGTCAGGTACTCTAGGCAGCTGGGATAATGAAAACAAAAAACTCAGATCTCTTTAGCATCAATAACCAATTCTTACCCAACCAAGGCATTTTCTGGCTATGTGGAACATCCACCTATCTATGCCTCTCCATTAACTTGACTGGCACCTGCACCCTAACATACCTCAGCCCAAAGACAGATATTGCCCCAGGAAACCAGAGCCTGCCTGTCACCATCAGAGCCCCAATGCAACAACATAGAAACCTACTAATAATACCACTGCTTGTCAGTCTACGTATCACCACAGCCATGGTGACCAGAATATCAGGACTACCTCCCTAACTTCCTACCATTCCCTATCCCAAGAACTCTCTAGCAGCCTCAAAGACATAGCTGCCTCCCTCTTACAAAACCAGTTACATTTCCTGGCCATGGTGAATATTCAGAACCACAGAACTCTGGACCATTTCACAGCTGAGAAGGGAGGCTCATGCATCTTTTTAAGAGCAGAATGTTGTATGCACACAAATCAGTTAGGCATAGTATGAGATGCATCAAAAAGGCTAACTGACAGAACTGCAGAAATCAGACAGCACATGTCCAACTCTTGAACTGGTATTTGGAGCTGGACCACATGGCTCCTTCCATTAGCTGGCCCTCTTGTCTGTATTCTCCTCCTTCTCCTCTTTGGGCCATCCTCCTCACGGTTCTCTCAGGATTCCTCCAAAATGAAGTTAAGGCTATCACCAATCAGACAATCCAACAAATGCTCACTCTGAATCCCCGGTATCCCGTGTCCCAAAAACTCTCCTGATTAAAGGTGTCCATGCTGTCCAACAGGTCCACCGTTAAGCAGCCACAAGGAACAATGTCCAATTCCTCTACCTTTTTTTCCCTTTTATAACAACAAAGAAACAGGAGTGTCATGCTCAAGGACATGATATACCCTGGTCACCACAACACCTTTTCCCCAGTTTGGCCAGAGTCAAGCCCATTCACTCTTGGCCACAAGCCAAGCCTTACTGACTGAGAAAAAACAGAATGAGTCTAATTTTCTCTAACTTAGGTGGACATCAAGGTTGCTGCAAGTAACAGATAAGTACATCTTCCCAGGATTAAGTACCCATTATGACTTCAGGCCAAAGTCTTTTGTGGGAGGAAAAGGATGGATTGAGTGAGTTCCACTACAAGATATCCAAGACTATCCTGAGAGTCTCTCCACAGGGTGTGCATATGTGCAAGTCTGGGCACGATGAGAATCACCAGATTGTATTCTGGGTTTTGTTTTGTTTTGTTTTGTTTGATTTTTGGTACCAGAGATCGAACTCGGGACCTTGCACTTTCGAGGCAGGTGGCAGAGCCACTGAGCTAAATCCCTGGCCCCCAAATTGTATTCTGAAAATTAAACCTCAGGTGGAGAATGACAAGCTGGGAGTTGGTCAGTCTTAGCTCCAAAATTTTGCATGGGATGTTCCTGAACATAAGCCTCACCATAAACCCAAGCAATTGAGTGTATTATCCCAAAAGCTGAACAAAAACCACTGATATATTTGAAGCCTCAATCCTGGCTTTTTGGTCCCCAAAAAGATAAAACATCTGTACCTGGACAGAGTCCTATACCTCTGGTCTCTGAGACCCAGGGGTGTGCAAAGAAGCCACACTCAAATACACACACACAAATTACAATGCTATCACACTACACACAAAAACATATACTCACTCACACACACACACTGACAAATAATGCATTGCTCACGGGTGCTTTAGTGCCCACAAAGAGTCACAATCTTGGTGTTACACCCACGACCTTAATTTCAGCACACAGGGCATTCGCTGCTGTCTCATAATTAAATACTCTAAACTGGACAAATCCTGTGGTGAATTCATCTAGAAAAAAGAGGAAGAAAACAAAATTCAAAGCAGATAGTGGAAATAGCTCCTGTGGGCCAGGCCAGAAACTGTCTCTGCCAGGCTCAGGCTCCAGCCCAACACTTCAGCAGTGCAAGTGGGCCCAAAACCACTGTGCCAGTGGCTGGTTTATGTCAGGGCCAAGTCTGGCCAGAAGGGATCTTGCCACACCCCAAAGCCCAAGAACTGGTCCTCACAAGGTGCCCTGGACCGGCAGAGGCTTGCAGAGAGAAATTCAACAGTGTGAGACAATCACCAATAACATCACTAAGGGCAGATTACAGCAACTGGCAAGTGCACTCACACTGAGCCTTTTCACACTTTTCTTGTTCTCTTTCACCTTAAAGTCTCAAATCCCAAATCTGCATAATAACTGCTGGGCATTTTATAGCACAGGCTCAGCCTCTATGATGGATATGCTGCCAAATATAGATTCACATTAAACAAACTTAAAGTTAACCTTTATAATAGAAATATAATTATCTCAATATTGTTGGTCTGCCCTGTGCACATAAACCTGGCTGGTTCTTAACAACTTACTGAGGGGCTGGTAATAAGGTTGCTACAAATAAAGTCTGGAGCCAAATTTCTCCAGTCCACATTTTGACTAAACCATACCTTCCCTTGAAATAAGGTAAATTCCTAAACCTTTCACTATTTGTTTTCTAATCTGTACACAGGAGTTAATACTAGTTTAGGCCTCAAGAATAGCTGTGCTAGCTGAGACAATACTGTAGGAAAACCAGGCTATGGTAGGTAATAGATAACTGCTACTCATCATAACTGAATTCATTATCTCTCCTACAAAGATTTCAGAGGAGCACTAAAGACTTACTGTGGCCATTAGGTGAGTAATAAGATGCTAGTTTCTTAGCATCGCCAAAATCATAGGCCACAGGTATCGCAGGACCATTATCAGTCCAACACTTGCCTGCTCCATATTTCACTGGGTATTTCTAGAGGAAATAAAGAAGTCATTGAGTGACACCAATACCTTTGGCTCTCACAGGGATGCTGTGTGGAGAGGAAACATTCTGTTCTTGATAACAGAGATTATTTCAGAGCCAAGCAACATAAGAATCTTTCCCTTTCCCTGAGCCTCTCCAGCATCTCAGCCCCATTTGAGCTCAATTTCAATCTCTCTCATTTGACCCATTTCAGGTCTTTCTCCCCAGATTCATTCTCATAGGTTTCTTGCTTTCCCAGGGTCAGAATACTTCACAGAATCAGAACAGAAGCCATGAGTGAATTATGGTGTAGCCAACATGAAAGAGAGACCCAGAGGAAGATGGCTCCTCCCTGACCTCAAATACCTGCTGCTCTTCAGACCCTGAAAGTCAGCCCACCCAGCATCCTGTGTACCTAGTAGAGGCCAGATCGTGTTCCAGTCTCTAAAAGAAGCCAGTTTTGGTGCAGTACCTCAGCAGGGACTTGTTCTTCCAGTTCTCCATGAGGCTATTGTTGGCCACATGCCAGATGCCCAGGTCCAGCACCTGGATGTCATAGTAGCCAGGGTTCTGGAAAACAACCAACACTGATCCTCACCATGCCAGGGGACCTCGTGAGAAAAGGAAGACACACACATAAAGCACTCAGATAAGCTGAAAGCTGTGTTTCAGTCCAGGTTTTGTGTTTTTGGGGGTTTTTATTTTGGTACTGGGATTCGAACTCGGGACCTTACACTTGCAAGGCAGGGGCATTGCCACTGAGCAAAATCCCTAGCCCTGAAAGCTGTGTTTCAAGTGAATAGATGGACAGGTGGATTCAGACACTCCAATTTCCAACAGATAATGGTTTCAACCACTATCGGGGGCAATCAATCCTCCAACTACCTAGAAAGGGGACAATGAGAGCTAAAGAGAAAAAAAGACAATAGATACTTGCATAATTTCAAAGTATATGAGGGGCCAAGAGGTCACAGAGTGGGGCAAAGAGAAAGACTTTCTGAGCTTTCCACAATTTAGTGGGTACACACAGTAATTGGAGAGAACATCAGGTGACTTAGGGGGTGGTGATCAAAGTACATGAGAAGCTGATAAAGATCTTAGGTCATGAGGCTCTTCTGCTGAGGAGGACTATATGGACAGCATTCTTACAATGGTGAGTGGAATGAGTTAGGAATTAGTCTCACCCCAGGTGGAAACTTTTTCTTTTTGTATTACCACATGGTTCTCAAAAAATCCAGGATGTCTTCATCTGATGCAAACTTGTCATTCAGCACCACAGCTTTACAGGATCCTTGAGGCCTCAGCTGTGACCAGAGGCAAAACGGAGCTATGTTTCCAAATTCCATAGCCAGCTGTCAGGCAAGGTGACATTGGGCCTTAGACAGCTATAGTTATACTTTAATTATGAAATTATTTTCCCCAACATTTATGTAGAAATGCTCAAAACAAACCAACACCAAGATGCCCCAATTTTGTTGGGCTTTGTTGGGAGTAACCTGGAATTCAAGACATATTTCTCTCATCTGCTCCAGCTGTAGCTCTGAATTCCAAACATCTTTCCTGCATACTTGTGGCCTTACCACATTCCAGCTCCCATCGTTTCCAACAGGAGTGACAAGAGACACCAACCTTCTAATCATCACTTGTGGCTGCCTCTGAGGACCCAAAGGTGTTGTAGTTGGCCCAGTCGCCATCTCCCTCGGGGTAGTCTGCTCCGTTGCCGTGCTGACTGGACCAGCAATCACCCAACATGCACTGCCCATACATGTTGTTCTCATGCACACTGGCCACCAGGGTCCAGCTGCCACCCTCAGTGGTCATGTCACAGAAGGTCTGGTAGATGACGCTAGCCTTGGTATGAAGAAATTTCAGGCCATCTGTAAGGAGAAGCAGCCCAGAGACTACCTGTCTGCAAATTCATGGCCCATCTCAGCCCCACAACCAGAACAGTTTTTGGAACAAGAAATGTAGCCCAAAGACTCCTCACTTGAGCCCTATCATATTGTGTCCTTAGGAGCACTAGAATCTCCTGAGTTCCAAAGAGCATATCCCTGTCAGTGAGACAAAATATAGAATTATCCAAATTTCCAGCAACTCTCCTCATAAAGTTAAACATAGATTTATCACAACTCATTAATTCTACTCCAAATATATACCCAAAACTTGAAGTCTGAACTCCAATTGATATTTGTACACTAATGTTCATGGCATCATTGATCACAAGATGCAAAAGGTAGAAAGAGCCCAAGTATTCTTCAACAGAAGAATGCATAAATAAAACATTCTGTGTATGTGTGCATACAGTATATATTACATATATAGTGTACATATATTGATAAAAATATGTAAACATAATGGATGAACAGGAAAGAATTATCCATGCTACAATATATATATATGAACTTTGCCAACATTATGTTAAGCAAAATAAGCCAAACAAAAAGGACAAATAATTTATGATTCTAGTTATATGAGGTAACTAGATTAGGCAAATTTATCCAGACCATAAGTAGAATGATAGGGAAAAAAAGGAACACGAATTTATTACATAGTAGATACAGAGTCTCAATTTCAGGTCATGAAAATTTTCTGGAGATGGACAGTGACAATGGTTGAATGACAATGTGAACATGATTCATGCCACAAAATGGATGTATAAAACTGAATAAAATTGCAAACTTTATCCAATATGTAACATGTGTACATTTTCCCATACATTTTATACAAAAATAAAATGAAATTCAAACCCCCAGAGCCGAAGCCCCGCGCTTGACAGGACTGCCTCACGAGCTGCAGCACTCACCACACGCACCGCTGCACCTCTGCTTGGCTTCTTTGCAGCTTCGGGGCAGAGATGGAGATGAAGAACAGCTCCATGCCTTCTGATCAGTATTGGCCACAGCTAGAGAAAATGCAGTTTCATTCCCATTGCTGATTTGACACAAAACCCAGCTTCCCCTTGTCACTAATCCCAAACTCATTCCTCCAGTGCACCAGGGCATCGCTTCCTGTGTTCAAACGTCCTGAGACTCAGTGCCATGTCCATTCAGCCCATCTGGCCCAGCATCCAGTGCAGACCTAACGTGGGCCTCCCCACACCCTCATGCTTGTGCTAGGCCCTGCTCTGGGCACTGGGCACTCAAAGGAATAAAGGCTCCCCCCTGCACAAATGAATAAATAAATGAATGAATAAACCAATAGCATAATTCCAGAGGGGATTTCCAAAATAGCAACAGAAAAGTACACTGAGAGGAATGAAACAGAAGTTCAGGAGAATGAAAGGAAGACTCAGATGAGAGTGGAGAATGGAGAGATCTGACTGGAGGCAGGGGATTGTCCAGCGTAGTATGTCTCAGTCACAGAAGTCTAGCACAAATAACAACCTTAGCTTATTCTGAGAGAATAAATAAGATTTATCAGTACAAAGAAAGAGAAGAGAATTCAAGGGAGGAGAACAACCTGTCCAAAGGCCTAGAGAAAAGAATAAAGCAAAAGAAATTCACCATCAAAAGAAATATAGGTAGGTTAACACGGCTGAGATCAGGGGCAAAGAAGATAGTATTGATCATGGCCAAGAAACTAACACAGCCTTAGAATGAAAACCTTGAATACTGATCTTCACTTGAGTGTAAATCAGAAAGAAGGAGCCAATGACAAATTTTGTGATCAGAAGCATTCAGCTCTAAAGCACTCACTGCTTACAAGTGTATTGTCCCTGTAAGGACATCACAACATGACCGACACTTGGTTATACCATGAATAAAAGGCACTTAATAAATACTTTTTTGTGAAGAACATGTGAGAGGATATTAAGAAAAAGGTATTTTTCTCTTTCAAAAATAAATAATAATTGAGCCAGGCATGATGGTGCATGCCTGTAATTCCACCAGTTGGGAATCTGGGTAGGAGTTATTGCCATGATGGCGAGGCCAGGCTGAACTACGTAGCAAGAACTTGTCTCATGAAATCAAATAAATAAATAAATAAATTGAAGAGAAACATTGAGATGCCCTTTTCTCTTGTTGTAGAGAGGGGAGCTAAGAAGGGAACATTCGCTGGGTACAAAGTAGACCATAAATTTGTCATACAAGCCCCAAGACCAAGGCCATGGGAGTGAGGATGGCTGGGAGGACACACAGCGCTTTCCAGAGTCCCTTCAAGGTCAAAATGAGACTCACAGCCTGAACCAAGGTCCGGCCTGAGCAACACCCTCTCTGCTACAAGTCAGATCCCTCAATAGCACAGAAATCAGCACTCAGCCTACATCGAGGGGACCTCAGTGCATCTCAAAGACATCATCATCCTCTTCCAGGAGAGGCTCAGGTCCTGTGAGCAACTCAGCCTACTTGTTTTCCTCCAAACTAAGGATGAGCTGGGAAGCCTGGGCCCCTGGAGGGAGACTCACCTGCACTGCACTCTGGGGCGGCCACCATGAGGAACAGCAGGGAGCCCAGCTTGGCCATTGCCATCTAAAGAAAACCAAGATGAAGGTCACTGTTTAAACATCTTTCCTGCATGCCCTTGTCACTACTGTACTCCTATCTAGTCCCACACTGACTGAGGGGTCCTTCGCTCCCTTTTTTTAACTCCACACATCTGGGACCTAAACCAGAACTGGGCTGAAATCAGTGTTCCCCCAACTCACCTCCTCCCTCCACATCAGGCCAGAGCTGAGGATTGCCAGCTGAGTGGGGCCTGCGTGCTTCCTCTACAGAGATGCCTGGCCAGGACCAGGGCACCGAGCCTTTTATGGAGAAATCCCAGAGGGCACTGCCCAGACCTCCAGCCTCGCCTCCCCTGGCGTGATGCCCAGTGGAGGAGAGGCTCCCGGTCTTCTCAGGGAAGGTTCTTTATTGATGATTCACAGAATTAGCTGGCACTAAGGACAATTCTGAAAGGTCACTTACTAGCATTGTTTCCAGGTTTGGGGATTTCATGGACCTATTTCCCAAAAAATGAAAATGCAAAACAGAGGTGCACTAACAAGAGTTGATGTGAATTTTGGGGCTTTTGTTTGAGTCTTTCTTCCAAAGTACAAATGTTTTTTCTAAAATTAAACATGTATCATCAGGAGCATCATTTTTTTAAAAAAATTTACAACAAAGTAGGAAAAGGATCACTTTAGAAAACGCTAAACCTTTAGCTTGAATAAATTTAGTTTGATATCATGGCTTTATTTTTTATTTCATCACTTTGTCACAAACTACTGAAACTTTACTACTGACTACCTCCATTTTAGGAAAAAAGCTGATGCCATATCTTTCCTGTCCAATGTCCTTCTTCAGTTCTCAAATCCCACTCTGCTCAGCGATACTGGAATTGATCAACTCCCCCTCAGTGATATCACATACTGAATACATCACTTTACTATATAACTGACAATATGGTGATCCTTTGGAAAACACTGTGTCTTCTTAGTCATTTTCTGTCTTGCTAGGTTAAATGTAATGGTCCACACAAAATACTCAAATAAATTAATAGAATAAAATAACAGCATGCATTAAGAAAAGCTCAAGAGAAAATACACCGCCTACACTTGTGACACCATCTCCTTCCCAGCAGCCTGGCAGCCCTCAGACCTCTCATGAAGCCTAAGAGTATCCTAAAGAGGACCAAGAAGGTCACTCAGCACCAATTAGAAAACAGGTCTAATTTAAGCTTAACTACAGAATCCCAGAGATACTGACGACTGGATGCAGAGAACAGTAAAGAGCCAGGTCTTGATGCTTAAAATTAGTTACAGGAGCAAACAGAAAACAAAGTATATGCTTCTCAGTGCCTTCCAGAAGTTCCTGTCCACTGCATCAAGTGGCTGGAGGGGCTGCTGATATACAACAGATCTTACTGTCTGGAGATCACTCACAGTGCTTTCTCCAAGAACCGCAACATTTGTGTAAAGAGCAGAACAGCTGGTTATCAGAGTCAGCAGGCCCAATCCCAGGCTGTTAGAGAAAAAACACTGAATAGGAAGACTCAGGTACATATTTTATTTGTGTTAAAATAAAAACTGTATACATAGGAGGGGAATGGGATTAAGAAAAGTTAAAATTTGTTATATTCATGTAGTAACTCCCAGTGATGAATGTAATCATTATGTACTGCAAACATGAACTAACAAAACAATTTTTTTAAATATGGAACGCTTCACAAATTTGCGTGTCATCCTTGCGCAGGGGCCATGCTAATCTTCTCTGTATCGTTCAATTGTAGTATATGTGCTGCCAAAGCGAGCCCAACAAAACAATTTTAAAGAAAAATATGTTTTCATTTTTATTTGACAGTTTTTCTCATTTTTGTTAGCACGTGTTTGCAGTACATAATGAAGAGTTCCATTCATCATGAGTTGGTACATGTAAATACACATTTTAATTATTTTTATTCTCCTTCCCCACTCTAGTTTTTTCTTCTCTGTCTCTAGATCCCTTTCTCATTTAGAAAAGATCTATCTCCCTGATTCCTATTATCTTTCCTTGCTCTTTAAATTACTTATACTTTGGTTGGCTCACGTAGGAGAACCTGTGTGATGTTTAAGCTTGTTTGTTTGATTTATTTCACTTAATATTACGGTTTCCAGGAACATACAGTTTCCTACAAATGACTGAAATTTATCAGAGTAGTATTCTAGTGTGTATAAATATCACATTTTCTTTACCAAGTCATCTCTTGATGGACATATATAGGCTTCTTACAATATTTAGCTATTATGAGTTGTACTCTATAAATATGAGTATGCATGTAACATTGTGATAAGGTATGTTGTGATATGTTTTCTTTTTTAGTTGAGTCTTTGTCTGGTTTTGGAATCAAGGTAATGCTAGCTTCCAGGAGAGAAGCTGGTAGTACTCCTTCCCTTTCAATTTCCTTAAAGACTTTGAGGAGTATTGGCATTAGACCTTCTCTGAAGTTTGTGTAGAATTCAATGGTGAATCCATTGGTCTTGAGCTTTTTTGGTTGGTAGAGTTTTTATTGCTTTTGCAATTTCATTGTCAGTTATACAACTTTTTGGAGTTTTTATATCTTCTTCATTCAGTTTTGGTAATTCATATGTGTCTAGAAATCTATCCAATTCTTCTAGATTCTCCAATTTATTGGAGTAAAGGCTTTCAAAGTACTTACTATAATCTTCTGGGTTTCAGTGGCATCCATTGCAATTTTACCTTTTTTCTTTCTAATTGTTTTGGTTTGAGTCTTTTCTTTCCTTCTTTTGATCAATGCAGCTAAAAATTTTTCTATTTTGTTTAGTCTTTCAAAGAACCACCTGTTCAACTCATTGATTTTTTTTGCACTATTTTGTGTGTTTCATGAGTTTCCACTCTTAACTTTATAATTTCCTTCCTTATATTAGTTCTGGATTTGGATTGTTCTTGTTTTTCTAGGACCTTGAGGTACATTATTAGGTTATTTTCTTGGGCTATTCTGTTTGTCTGATGTAGGCATTCACAGCAATAAACTCCCTTAGGATTACTTTCATTGTGTCCCATGAAATTATGATATGATATACTGGCATTATTGTTTTATTCAAGGAATTGTGTAATTTCTTCCTTGATCTCTTCTGTGACCCATTGATTATTCAAAGGGGTATAGCTAATTTCTAGGTACTTGCATAACTTATGTGGTTTCCTTTGCTATTGATTTCTAGTTTCATTGCACTATGAGGTGATAATACGTACATGCTCATTGCAATTCTTTTGCATTTACTTAAGCATTGGTCCCCAGACTGCATTGTGGAATCACTGATCAGTACAGGCTGCCTCTGATGGTCCCCTATCTGTGCCATCACTCCTGTCCCAGTGTGGTCCCCCAACTGTTGCTCATACCTCTCCTCCCTTGTAATGGAAGAGATTACTTCCTGATAGGAGTTGCCTTATCCTTTATGCAGAAGATTATATGAATGCCACAGCACGATTGTTTTATTTTTCTCTCACAGCAGTTCTTAGGAAAAAGTTTATCAGACACTGTATTTGTTAAAGAAATACTTTCTTTGTAGGTTTTTACTAAGTACACCAACTAGAAGAACTACAATTGTATCCAGGTCTGACAATTATTCAAATGAGGTTTATACTTCTTGTAATATGAGATTTAACACTTCACTATCTCTGATATTTGATGCATCGTCATGCAATGATATATCACAGTTTGTGTTTCATCTAGAGCAGTTTATGAGACCATGATTCACTTTATCAATGGCATGTTAGACTCAACCAAAAGCAAGCTCAGCAGCCAGGCACACTGACACCTGTCTGCAACCAGCACTCTGGGGAAGCTGAGACAGGAGGATCACAAACTGCAACCCGGCCTAGATGACTTATCAGTGTAATGAGACTCAGTTTCAAAATTAAAAACAAAATAAAAAGTGCTAGAGATGTAGCTCAGTGTGAAGGCCCTGGGTTCAATCTTCATTACTAAACAAAAAAATAGCTCTCTTTCAATGGAAAATAAAAATTTTTGCCAGCTATTTGTCCAAGCGCTAACTAATATCTAGAATACTGAAAGAACTCAAAAAACTTACCCCCTCCAAGATAAAAGACCCAATCCAAACATGGGCAAGTGAAAGGAATAGACACTTCACTGCAAAAGTACAAGTGGCCAATAAATATGTGAAACAATGTTCAAGATTGCTGGCCATTAGAGAAATACAAATTAAAACAACATTGAGATTCCCCCTTACCCCAGAATGGAGGGCTATCATCAAGAAATCAAATAAGGTGTGGGGTCGTGGCCTTGCTCCATGTCCTGTCCTCCACGCATGTGTGCACAGGCCCTGAAGGGCTCATGGGTCCACGATAGGACTCTGCAGGGACAGAGGTAGGAGCCATGGGCGTGATGCCAGCACCCACCAGGTCACCTTCGAAGAGGAAGAGAATGAGAACATCATCTTGGTGAGGGGCATTTGGCTTTCAGAAAATGTAATTGATTGAATGAAGGAATCCTCCCCATCTGTTCAAAGTCTCAGTGGTATTCTGGTATTTATGTTGCCTCAGTTTCTGATGAAGAATTGAAAAGAAGAGTGGATGAAGAACTGGCATTGGAGCAAGCCAAGAAGGAATCTGAGAATCAGAAACAACTAAAGAAAAGCAAGGACCTAGACCCAGAGAGGGCTGCAGCCAATGAGCAGTTAACCAGAGCTATCCTTCAAGAGAAGATATCAAGTGAGGAAGAACACAAAGAACTTGGCTAAGCAGCTAGAAGAGAAAGACTGAATGACAAAGAAGCAGGATGCGTTCTACAAAGAGCAGCTGGCTAGACTGGAGGAGAGGAGTTCAGAGTTCTACAAAGTTACCACTGAACAGTATCAGAAAGCTGCTGAAGATGTGAAGCAAAGTTCAAGCAGTATGAGTATCATCCAGTCTGTGCTGATCTACAGGCCAAAATCCTCCAGTGTTACCATGAGAACACCCACCAGACGGTCAGCTGCTCCACTCTGGCTAACCAGTACATGTACTGTGTCAATCATGCCAAACAGAGCATGCTGGAGAAGGGAGGATAAAATCAACTTTAGAACATGCAAAACTTTAATTCCAGAAGTGGAACACTTGTTTTCTGAGTAAGAAAATAATGCACTTAAAAAGAGAAGACTACTAAAGAAAAGTACCAGAAAATGTACTCAACAGAATCATATCATGTTTTGATCAACAACAGTTTGAGAAGCCAAGGTCTAGATCAGGAATCAGTCATCAAAGGACACTGTTCTGTACCAGTAAACCCAATTTATGAAAAAATAAAAGAGAAGGGCAGTGC